CGGAGCAGGGAGCCCGATGCAGGACTCGATCCCAGGACCCTGGGATCATGACCTGAGCCGAAGGCAGATGCTTAACCGACTGAGCCACCCAGGCGTCCCAAGTTTTTTTTTTTTTTTTAAAGATTTTATTTATTTGAGAGAGAGAGAGAGAAACAGCATGAGAGGGGAAAGGGTCAGAGGGAGAAGCAGGCTCCCCGCTGAGCTGGGAGACCGATGCGGGACTCGACCCCAGGACTCCGGGATCATGACCTGAGCCGAAGGCAGTCGCTTAACCAACTGAGCCACCCAGGCGCCCCTCCCATTCCTATTATTATTCCTGCTCTTTGGGTCTGTGTTTTGTTGACATGTCAGGTGGGTCTCTGGTCTGTTCTGCTCTGTCTCACTCAGCTCCGTGTTTCATTCTGGCCTCTTCTAGAAGGCTGGCTCACTGGAATGCATCAGAAATGAATTACTTTGCTTTGCTGTCTGTTGCAACAACTGATCTTTCATATTCTAATCCAGGAAAAGAAGATCAAAACACATACATTTTAATGTCTTCTAAGTCAGTTTAAAAAGAATTGCTGTGCTCTTATAAAAAATTCTTCTTTCATATCCATGCCTTGATGGCCATAGTCTTAAAATTAAAAAAAAAGAAAGACAGAGGAAATAGATCTTTTAAAAGTAAGGCCTTGTGAATAACTGCAAAGTGTTCCATGTTAATAAAAAACACAAATTCAAGTGATTAAAGCAGTATCATTTTTATCTTAGAATGGTAGGTCTGATTCTGGGCCTCAAGCCCACAAAGAAAACATAGCAAAGAGATAATCCCATCTAGGAAGAAAGTATCCAAACAGGTACGAGCAAGTCCCTCTCTGGGCTAAACTGCAGTCAGACATGAGTGCGACGCGACCAGTCAGGGTGGGGACCCTGCCTCTCAGAGGTGGGGAGGTGGCCCGTCCCTGCACAGACATCCGGCTTAGCACCATGCCCCAGAGGCCCCTCCCTTGGAAGCCATGGGACTGAGTTTCACCCGGCAAAGGTGCAAACTCCCACCAACCAAAATCCCATTTGATTTCCCACATCCCTTAAAACTCCCAAATGTAGGAAGAATTGGGGTCGACCGAATTCCACAAGCTCAGCTCTCGTACAGATCAATGCCACACAGACCATAAATACAGCCAGGAGACACAAGAGTCTAGTGAGGTTCAAGTTCATCCCCGCTGTTTTTGGACCCCATCAGCCAGCTGGAATGGATGACAATGGGCAGAGGCTGTGTGAACGGTATCACACGGCACAAGTCCCTGGGTCTGGTCCTCGGGAGGCTGCTGCCGGGGCGCCCAGGGTCCCTGGCAAGTCACCTGGTGCCCCACCCCCACGCTGTGATGTCACCATCAAAGTCAACCAGTACAGAAACTCGAACCAGCAGACAGCAGAGCCTATGGCCTGGTGACAGCCGAAGAGGGCAGGTATTTATCGGGAAGTCTATGGTTTCAGGTGTAGAAATTTGAGTCACTGACTTTAAACAGCCAAGCAGAGGACCCATGAACCAGGACCCAAGTCATCCACAAGCTCCCACTGAGGGACACCTGAGACAGAGGCCAGCCTGCGGCCCTCCCCAGCCAGCCAGCTTGTCCCTGCTCAACCAGTCCCTAATCCTCCCCTCAGAGAGGCACAGATTTCTCTCACTCTGCTTTCCCACTAACATGGGACCGTCCCAACTTTGGACACATGGCCCCACCTACTTCCTGGGGTGACAAGAGAATGCGGAGGTGGCCCAGGGTGCTGTCAGAAGCAAACAGCAGAGGAAGGTCAAGCAGACAAACAGAACTCTGCACAGGTGGGAAGCTTTCTCTTTCAATGTAATGGCTATGGTGTTGTCCAAGAAACAGTTTTTAGAAGGAAAAAAAAAAAAAAAAACCTGCTTAGAATTTTAGAATAAGGCACAACGGTGGTCTGTGTTTCCTAACTACTCCCAAGTCAGGGCCCCCCAGCCCACCCACTGGGGTATAACTTCAGGGAGACCAATCCCCCACCCCCGAGGGCCTTATTGGATCTTCAGACAGCATGCTCCAAATTAACCCATTTGACAAAGACCACGAAACCCTACTGTGGGCCGGGCCCAAGTGTCGAGCCAGGGCCACCGCAGTGAGCCACACAAGGCCTGTGCGGTGGGCTCCCAGGCCAGGTGGCGGAGACATCGAGAATCCCACAAAGGAGGTAATCAGACAGATGGGCTGGGCACGGGGGTGAGAATGAGCTGCTGAACCACAGTGCCCCCTGGCACACGGATGTGCTCCCCTGAGCCCCACGGCCCGCCACACCTGCCCAGGGCTCCTCCAGGCCTCCCACTCCCCTCCAAAAACACAGGGGCCAAGACCAGGCAGAAATGAAATCCGTTTCACTTTCTGGGACACACTTCTGTCGCCCAGTGTTCGGAGTACTATCTTCTAGGGCGGGGCATCAGAGCAATGCTCGTTTCCAAAGGCGGCCCCCGGACAGACGTGGCCAGTAGGGCAGGGCACTCGGGCAGCTCACTGAGGGTTCTCCCTGCCACCTTAGATGAGGCCATGTGAAGGGCCAGGTGTGTAATCAGCCCCAAACCCCACTTCCAGGTGAGCAAAACAACAGGAGACAGCAAGCAGCTCTCACCTCCTCCCAAGACCCGGCGCTCTGGCTCAACCCCCAAGCAAGGAAGAGAGAGAATCCTCAGAGCAGCATGTCCTAGAGAGAGAGAATGGGAGCCACACACCCACGTTTAAATGTTCCACATGAAGTTCATTCTCACATATCTTAGTCAACCTGACATATCCAAAACATTACCATTTCAGCATGAATGCACTATCGAAGCAATTAATGAAATTGTTTGCAGTATTTTTTTCATACTGAGTCTTCAAAATCCAGGGTGTATTTTTGCACTTAGGGCACATCTCAATTTGGATGCTAAATTTTCACCAGAAGGACCTTGATCCGTATTCAGATTTCATAAAATATACAGTTAAAACGGAGCGTGACATGCCCAAGTTGCGCCAAACTTTCTTAAAAGTTGTCCAATAACTGAACTGAATATCTTTTTAAATTTTTTTTTTAAAGATTTATTTATTTATTTGAGAGAGCGAGAATGAGAGAGAGTACATGAGAGGGGGGAGGGTCAGAGGGAGAAGCAGACCCCCCGCTGAGCAGGGAGCCCGATGCGGGACTCGATCCCGGGACTCCAGGATCATGACCTGAGCCGAAGGCAGTTGCTTAACCAACTGAGCCACCCAGGCGCCCTGAATATCTTTTTAAATTTAAATTAATTAAAATTAAATGCAGTTCCTCAGGGACACCGGCCGCATCCCGTGTGCCCACTGGCCACGTGTGGCTGGTGTAACCATATGGGTGGAGCAGATACGGTGCCCCTCCGTTGTCACAGAAAGTTCTACTGCACGGAGCTGCCCAGGACCCTGAGCTCCTTAACAACCAGGTCTGTTCCATATATCCTTATTCCCCTCCTTACCCAGCCTCCCAGCAAAGACACTGGGAAGTCACTGTTTCCCACAATTGATGTTAAGACTCACCTAGGGCACTAGATAAAAACACAGCTGCCTGGCCCTGCCCCAGATCTCCTGAATCTACTGGGGACAGGCGGAGGCAGGCGGGCAATCACCCCAGGGGACTTTTAAGCCTCCAGCTAATAGCCACAGAGTTTCCTCCTTCCTTCTGAGTCTCCCACATCCAGCCAAAACTGTTGTAAGTTAGGAATTCGTGGAGCCAGGGCGGAGCACCCCCCTTGGAACTCACCCAGCGCCCCAGCGGGGCTCTGCACTGGGGGACTGTGCCTCGGGGACACTGCCTCAGGGACGGTGCCATAGCCTCTCCCCTTCAGTTTTCGGTCAGCGACAGGAGAGCAGCCCACCTGTGCTCAGAGCGCTTGTCAACACACAGGGACCCTCTGGAAATGCCGACTGCCTTCTCCCCCTGCTTTGGAGCCCTGTCACACTGAACAGTGGCCATGGGGGAAGGAAGAGCTCCTTGCCCACCTTGAACATGGGATGGGAAGGTTCGGCTGGTCAAGCTGCACAAAAGAAGGCCCTGCACAGAACCAGCTCTTTCTGGGACCGGATCAATTTGCAAATAAAACCTTTCCAGACAGAGCCATGAAGTGGTGACTACGGCCACCCACGCCCTTTAGGAGAGAGGCATCCCAGGCTTTATTCCAAGGCAAGCAGACACCCAAAGGGTGACAACTAAGATGCTGGATTCTGTGCTCTTTTCAGAGACCAACAAATCCCCATCCCCAAGTTCAGGTACAAAGATAGGCTTCCAGTGACAGGCAACCGTGGGATGCAGAGCCCTGGTAAGGACAGGGGTGTCTTCGTGGGGCATCATAAAGACCTGCTCTCTACCAGTTCCCACACATCCATGCAACACCAACCCGCAGAAGGACCAGCGGTTATCCCCCTGGGGCCTTCCTGTTTGGGGTGGGGGGCAAAGGGGAGTCGGTCTCATGGTATGGTCGTTCTAGGCTCTTCCTTCAGGAAACTCGTACACAGCTGGTGGGACTTGTATTTGGTACAATCGTCTGGAAAACTGGCAGCGTCTACGACAGCTGAACATGCTCATTCCCAAAGATGCATAGTTCCACCACCAGGTAGGTGCACAGGTAGGTGCTCCACGGCACCATGTCCAGAGGCTCATCAAAGACACGCTAGAAAGCTCGGAGCGCTAGATGTAAAGCCACAGACTGGAAAGGGCAGTGTCTCCCCACAGTGGAGTGGGTAACTCTAATTCAGCTACAGATAAGAACCAACTACAGCTGCAAGCTACACCTGGGAAGAAGCTCACACACACAGTGTTAGGCACACGGATTCAGAAAGAAGGAGAACGCAGTGCATGGCCCTGTGTATGTCAAGCCCACAGACGAGGGGAAACCAGCCAAGGCTGCGGAGGTCAGGACGGCGGCTCCCCCCGGCCGGGGGTTGGGGGTTTGATTAGGGAGCAGAATGGAACCAGGGGTTCTGGGGTGCTGTTCCTATTCTTACCCTCAGCACTGGTTGCACAGGTGAGTTCTGTTCGTGCAAATCCCTGGAGCAGTATGAATCTGGGAGGTGCTCTGTAGTGGGTAGCATACTCTGAGAAGAAAAGAGTTCATACAAAAAGGAAGTTAGAACGGGCGGTGCTCAGTTTCTGCCCCGAACGAAACCAAGAGAGAAGCAAAGGGCACGCAGCAGTTCGACACAGTGCGGACGCACCAAGGCAATCCGGTCCTGTCGCCCTGAGGAAGGTGAATGTCCTCCCATCAGATGGACACCATTTCCGTTCAGAGGCGCCAAACCCAAGCCTCCTCTGTTTGTGCATTTCAGAATGGTTAACAGGGCTCGTAACCACTTAGGGTTTATTTTATGACCCAGCTCGTAGTCAGGCGGCTAATGACCTCCCGTTGCCAGGTTTGATGGGTTTCCAGGGTCTTAAATGGCTTCTCCGGGGTGGATGTGGCCAGGAGGCTGCGAGCCCTGGGCCCTCCTCGGCCGCACCGGGGGCCTGCTCACCTTGGCGGCCTGGCCAGGCACACGGCAGGGGTGAGGTCCGAGGCGCGGGCTTTAAAAGGGCGGGCTCACATGTTCTTTCGGCCTCTTTCCATAGAAGACTTCCTGGGGCAGAGGCTGCACGGTCAACAGCAGGCCCGAGGCTTCCTGCCGCCCCGCCAGGGAAGGGAACTCGCCATTGGGTCCCGAGTGTCCCACTTCATGGCTAAGGGGGCCACTACCCCCAGGGAGGGAAGACACTGAGTCCTCACCTTGGCCTTGGACATTTTCCTCCCTGCAAGTTACTTCCAGAGAATTTCTCAAATCTCCCAAAGGAGCAAGAAGACAAAGAGGTCCCAGGAGCCCTAACTGTCCCCAGAGGAAGCCCAGCTTCCCTCTAGACAGAAGGCAGGGGGCACTAGGCAGCGTGGGCCACCCCGCCCGCAGGGGCGCGATGCTGGAGCAGTGGCTCTCTCCAGGAACCCAGTCTCCAGGAACAAGGGCTCCATGCTCTCTGAACCTTACAGAGAGAACCGCAGGTCCCAGCACCTCACTGGGGTTTGTGTACCCCCCACCCTCACGCCCACCAGGACCACCTTGTCACTTAACCAGCAGCTGCAGACTCTGCCCCTCCGGAGGCCTGCTGGGGCCTTCCCTCCCTCCGCCCTGGGCCCAGCACTTCCTTCTGCCCACCCTCCTCCAGCTTCATCCATCATGGCCTGGAAGTCTCCGACACCCCCTGTACCCTGGGCTAGAAGACCCAATGCAACAACAAGCACATTCATGCACCACTCCTGCCCCTAAGGTCTCCCCTGTGACACACTCATCACCACTGCAATTAAATGACCATTTGACTAAGTGCTTATGTCTAGTCCTTCCACTGGACTCTGAGCTCCGAGTCTCCAGGGCCCGGACACGACTTAGCCACCATGATTCCCCAGCAGCCAGCGTTTACTTCCTTGCCTGTGGCCTTCTGTGGGTTAGGGCTCACCGAGTGGGAACACCCAAGGCATCCCCAACATCTGGCTGGCCGTAAATGTTACTTCTCTCCCTCCCTAACATCTCCTGCAGCACAGCCGTGCGGCACGTCCTAGAACCAAATCTCAGCCCAGCGCCTCCCAGCTGGTTGACCCCAGGCAAGTTACTGAACCTCTCTGTGCTTGACCTGCCCCTCTACAAAACAAATCTCATGTCATCTACCTCTCAGGGCCAAAGGGGAGATTAACTGAGTTATGGGAAGTACTGACCATGATGTCTCCAACAGGACAGAATACTTTTCTTGTATCTTTATAGTTTCCCTTCATTTGAGACCACTGTCCAAGAATGCTGGCTCACAGGCCCAACAGGAACCCAGTCTCTGGTTCATTCATCCATTAACAGATTCCACTAAGCGTGGCTGTGCTAAGTGTGGCGTGGGACACAGCGGGCAGGCCAGACGAACAAGGTCCCCACCCCTTTGGAGGTTATGGGGTTTGCAGAAGGAAAAGACTATTCTAGCACATTCATCTTTTCATCTCACTCTCCCTCTCTCTCACTCTCTCATTTTTCGCTGGTGCATTGAGATTTTCTTCCCCCATAGTTTTAACCCAGAAGTATGATTTAGGTGATCTCTGACTCCCACACCAGGTAATAAAAATATTGTGGGCTTTTCTCCGATTATTTTTCTTTTCAAAATAAAAACAATGACTGTGGATGTCTTCCCAGGGAAAATAAAGAAACCAGCTTTTGCTCGCAAAGGACGGTGCTGTTCTGGGCGCCTGGGTGGCTCAGTTGGTTAAGCGACTGCCTTCGGCTCAGGTCATGATCCTGGAGTCCCGGGATCGAGTCCCACGTCGGGCTCCCTGCTCAGTGGGGAGTCTGCTTCTCCCTCTGACCCTCTCCCCTCTCATGCTCTCTCTCACTCTCTCTCTCTCAAATAAATAAAATCTTAAAAAAAAAAAAAAAAAAGGACGGTGCTGTTCTTGTTATTGACTGAAGAAGTTACGCACAGGCCGAGTGCTCCCTTGAAAGGGAGGAGCTGATTCTAGAACAGCAGGTGCAACAGAGGGTCTAGAGCTGAACAGGGCAGCTGTGGTTCCGGAAGGGCGGGATCCCTGGCTTGCTACCTCTCCCCAGCTAGGACGCAAAAGAGACAGCTCCTTCCTTCTTCCTTCCTCGAGCTCAGAGCCCCATGCAGAGCCCCTTCACCTTGTAACGACAAAGGAGAGCTCAGCTCTGGCTGCTTTGAGCTCATGCCTCCAATGACCTCTGTACAGATCGAGGACAAAAGGAGGAAACCCCAGCACACAGCAACTCCCACGGAACGAGGCTCTGAAGAGCTGACCTGGGCAGCTATCCCTACATATTCTGAGCCCAGCACCGACCCCTACACTCCCTTCTGGTACAAAATCACATTAATCCTCAGCCCAGAGCCCCAGTTCCGATTTAAGACCCACGAAGGCCAGCTTCTCCTTTGCTGGAGCCTCCCCTCTCTTTGGCAGCCAGCGCCGGATGCTAGTTTCTGCTTCTCCACCAGCTCCTAAGAGAAAAAAGGACCCACTGAGCGCGCGCAAGTCCTGCCTGGCTGTGCTGGGAGAGAACAAAGACTTCACACAAAGGAGAGCTGGCCCTTCCAAGCCCTGGGGCCACTCGCCACAGAGAAGGATGCTCCGGTCGGGCGCCGGAGTTCCCTAGCTGAGGTGCACTGGACCGCCCCCCTCCTTCGCACACGGGAGAGTGACCAGAGTGCCCTGCGGTAGGGTGGCCCTGAAAGCCTGGACACATTCCAGGGGCCTTCCATGCAACCCAGAGGGCAGAACCCAAGCAGTGGATGCCAGAGATGAAAAGCCAAGAGGGGGCAGCCGCCCCAGGATTTTAGCTTTAGACACACACACACACACACACACACAATCTAGAAGGGTTTTACATTCAGGTTGTCTCTTCTGTAAGCTGAGCTTCTGACAGTGAGTTTCCTTAAAGGATTTTGGCCCCTTGTGCCTGTCCATTCTGAAGAGCACAGCACTAGATGCTTCCAGATTCCGGACACTCAGAACCCAAGAAAGCCACAGGAGATCCCACCAGCAGACCAGGACAGTCGCTCCATGAACCAACTCAGCCCAGCAAGTCCCTCCTGAGCGTGCACAGGGGTCAGGCACCCCGCTAGACCCCACAGAGCCCACGGAGGTAATACAGCTGCAGGCCTGCCCTCCAGCCACTCACAATCAACCGTTCGTGCAAGTGGCTCTAAGTCAAGTCGGTCTAGGATGAGCATCCTACAAGATACCCAGGGCCGGCTCCCCAGACTGCAACCCACGCAGTCACCCAGGCCCCAGGCTCACCAGGGCCCTGCACTGGGTTTCATGCTCTGCTGTCCCCATTTTGAAATTCTCAGGAATCTTTTAGGATGGGGCTCACAATTTCATATTGCACTGAGCCCCTGGGCCCTGTAAATTATATGGCCACTTGTGGAGCTATCTTACGAGTTATATAATCAGGATTCAAAGGGAAGAGAAATCACGCCTGAAGAGCTTCTCTTATTCCTGGTACACATAACCACGAAAGAGCAAATACCTAGAAATGGCATTACACCTCGGGTTTAAGCTCATCGTGAGTCTGAGTAAGGACCTTTCCCAGAGCGCTTCGGAATCAGCCTCTGGCATTCTACACCAGCAATGAGATTAGCACGAGGCGCCTCCAGGAGCCCGTTTATCATAACTCTGATCTATAGCACCACCTCCTCTAATACAGTTCTGCCTGACAATTTAAACAATACGGGCCCTTTAATTTATCACACTAATGCGATTACACACCCATCCCAGAGTCCAGCCACCGTGCACTCAAGTGGAGGCCCCTTCTGTGAAATTTACGGCGGAAGCTTACACTCTTCTGGCCCCTTTAAATGGGAAAATCTTTACCTTAGCTGAGCGATGGGCTCCTTCCACAACCTGCAAAGAAAATGAAGCCCTTCGACAAGGGCCCTGCTCTGTCAGTTTTTACAAAAACGGTCCCCAGGACTGCAAGGTTTAAACACCATCTACAAACAAGCCGGATGCTTCAAACAAGCTTCTACAAACAAGCTTCATTTTAACCTTCCTTCGTGGAGAATGCAAAATCAATGAAGTATCTGCTGATAATGCCCCCGTATCTCGTTTTGGTGGCATCTCACAATTAATGCTGCCCATGAGGCTGACAGTGAGCAGCCTCACACATGCCTTCTGGTTATTTCGAGCATCACTCTGACCCACAGTTGAGCGTGGGGGGTTCAGACACAGCATGCCGCACGGGGAGTTTGCATTTTTAAGAAATCGGCTTGTAGATGGTTTAATTAAAATACACTAGAGCATAATTCATTTGGAATTGAGGCTCCCATCAAACCAAATTAGGCAGCAGGAATCTTCCCAACCTTAAAAGTACCAACTGTACTCAGAAACTGAAAGGACATGGAAGGAAGGGAGGGAGGGAGGAAGAAAGGGAGGGAGGGAGGAAGAAAGGGAGGGAGGGAGGGAGGAATTGAAGGGACATGATAGATCTTCTCAGCCAAACCCCTCATGCTACAGTTGAGGAAAGAGGTTCAGAGAGGTCAAGTAAGCAGCCCCAAGACACAGAGCACTCAGTGAGAATTGGGACCA